CACCCCGTTGTACAAACTCGTCAAGCTCCCAACAACAGGTGCCCTATCTTCTTCTTCTCCGTAGTGCTTCGCAAGAACTTTCACTATTTTTCCCAACGGTAGTGTGAGAAAGCTCAATAAAACGTCGGCGAAATCTGCGTCGATTAGGGCGAATAGTACTTTGTTTTTGTCTTTGTTTATCATAACTTTTAGAGAGAAGGAAACATCCTTATTTGCATCCTCGGCCATTTGAACCATTCTTCCCGTTTGTTTGGCGGAGCGTGAAGAAGTTTAATATTATTTCAGGGTTTTAGAACAAATAAGGAAATATAATTCTGTAGCTTTATTTGTTCATAGCAATGGCGGCAGACCTTTTTTCTGTGGTTTTGGGAATCGGGGAATAGGTCAGAGTCAGAGCACGTTCGCTTTTTTTCTTGAATTTGATTTGATTTGACCCAACGCCCAAGAACTTGTAAATTTAACGAAGGATACATTAAAAAAGGGAAAATTGCACATGACCCCCTATAAATTTCTTATTTTCGCACTTTAGCCCCTGAATTTTGTAAGAAGTGAATACTCCGTCAAAATATTATTCTTGTTGCCCGTTGCACTCATAGAAAAATTTCGATGGATTATTCATTGGAATTGAGTTTTCTTATTGCACGTTGCCCCTTCAAATGTTATTTATCTTGCACGTGGCCCCTTTAAAATATTATTTTGTTGCACATTGCCCCTTTAGAATGATATTTTTGTTGCACGATGGCTACCAAAAATTAGCTTTTAAGGCAAAATGTAACAAAAATAACATATTAAATGGGCAATGTACAAAAAAGATAATGTTTTTAAAAGGTAGAGTGCAAAAATTAGAAGAGAACCATAAAAGAAGGAAAAGTCGAAGAGAGCAAAGGGCAAATGTGTATGTCTCAACTCAATAGACTCGTGCTCTTGTTATAGTAGAAAGAATCACGCGGCCCGCATGGATGTAGCTCAACTGATTACGGATGTAGTAAGTTGGTACAAGGTACAATAATGAATCACGTGTTACAAGAAAATGAATGGCCTTAAAAATTCTTTATTAACACCTCTAATTAGGGGTGGGCATTCGGGTCGGGTCGGGTTATTCGGGTTATTCGGGTCGGGTTATTCGGGTTTTTTGCAAAAAAAAAATTACCCGAACCCGACCCGAGATAACCGGGTACCCGGCAACCGGGTACCCGGTTATTTCGGGTCGGGTTCGGGTCGGGTTCGGGTTTTGCTATTTTCCTCTTTTTTTTTTTTTTTTTTTTTTGTAAGGTATAAATATATATATATAGAAATATACATATACATATACTGATATACATATATATATATATATATACACACAGACACACAGACATATACATATATATACATACAAACATAGACATATATATATATATATAGTATGTATTACAGACATATATATATATATATATATATATACATATATATATAAA